TTTTAATTTTTTACCATTTTAAATTTTTTATAACGTTTTGCTAAAATTTTCTGTTTGAAAACGAATTCATAAATAATTTTGTTTTGTTTTGTAGGACCAAGACACAAATAAAGAAAAAATAGCAAAAGAAAATGGATCCTTCAGGAAAACAGGGTAAGATTATTATACATTTTTAATGCATACGTACAAAACAAACTTTTTTCTGAATGTTAACTGCTACGAAAAAGTGAAATAGTGACCTAAAAATTAAAAACTTCTGTAAAACTCTTTTGACTTGTACATATATTATTTTCACTAATTGGTACTACTTTAACCTTCTGTGTTATCTAGTGATTTTTTTTCCAAATAAATGTCAAGATGCTTCCTAACGTCTGTCATTATTGTGTTCTGTAAATGTTAAAAAAAAATGTTCTTACTACAGTTAAAGTACGTTTGAAATGTAACTTTTTAAAATAATTTTAATTTCCGTACTGAAAAAGTATGCGGTTCATGACAAAAAGTATCAATCAAAAGTTTTTTTAATTATTTGAATGTGTGGTGAAGCAACAGTTATCTACTTAATGATGGTAAATTCAACATAACAAAAAAAATTTTTTTGTTAACAGTACCCTTTAAAAGGCTCAAATTAAAAAAAAATTAAGTAATAAATAAAGATGAAGATTTCTTGAAACTTAGTACATTATATTATAAAAGACAAAAAATCAAAAAACTTTCTACTCATTTATACAATTTTGAGAGATTTTGACTTCTAATAGAAAAATGTGGTTGTTTCAAATTACTTATTTAAATTCGATTGTACGTTAAGAAAATTAGGGTTAGTATTATTCACAATATATGTTATACGATAGGTTCTCTATTCTATGCACATCCAAACGTATTCTTAAAAACAATTTTAACATTTATAAAAAGTTATAGTTTTTTATATTATACCAGTATACGAATGCTTATAATATTTTTATTTAGTTCCTTATTATCTTTGATTATAATCTAAAAGTGTCTTTTTATTGAGAAAGTTCTATGAGCAAAGAAAAGATGTAATTTCAAGTAATTTGTAAACAAGCTTGAAGCTATTTAATAAGCAACGGTTGAGCCAATACAATAGTGTGGTGCAAATATAAAGCTTAATTTTTTGCAGTACATCAAGCATTAAAAATTAATAGTATTAAATAAGCAACTAGTATCTACGACTATAAGCTCTTACAAACTAATTATTTAATTAACTTGGTTTGGGAACTTTATTGTATAGCTTGTGCTATATAACTGAAAAATTGTTAATCAAGTTAAGCTTGCGATCTTAATATTATAATTAAACAAATTTAAAATAACGAGCTAATTTCTTTTCTTATGTACTGCTGATTTGTAAAATATTATCATAAAACTAGAATTTCTATTTAATCTTTTTAACATGTTTATACTTTTAACACTCTCACATGACTGACAAAATAGTATATAATGAATATTAAAATAATCCATGTTCAATTGTAAGATATAAATAACTTTACGCACCAATGAAAGCAATAATGAGTATTTGGTTTTGTAACAATTGTCTGTGATAGCTATAGTCATCTAAGAATAATTAAAATTTTTGTGTTTGCAGTCTGAAAGAAAATGTTTATTATAATTTTTCAACATTCAGAAACGAAAAATCTATCCTATTTATAACGTAATTAGACGTGAAATTGACTAAGTTTTTTAAAAGTATATTCTAATGCTAATGAATATTTTAATATGGCTATATGTGTTACTTCAGTTGTATTGCAAAATTTTTCAAAATTACTAATTGAAGTAATTAGTATTTTGAATTTTTCTACGTTTTGTTTCCAGTGAAAGTGAAATGTTGTCTGTCAATTGGAAAAATTTTTGTCATCTATTTTTATACCATAAAATGAAATTCGAATTGTCAATACAGCCCTTACTTTTAAAATATTATTTATTAAAAATTTTCTTGTCATATCAAATTTTTCATCTTGAAATAACAGACATATTCTTGAAATTCCTTATACTGGAATAGAAAAAGTTTGGACAAATCTTTTTTGTTGACTTTGGAAAAAAAAATTACACATGATTCGATTGCCATACAAAGTGCATGGACAAGTGCGCTATATACGTGTACTACACACTTTTGACCAAGAATAAACTTTTCGACAGTATGCCATAAAATTTATTTACATTATTTATTTACTTTTGCTGTTGTTAGAATCAAGAAACTAGATTAAATTAAAATTCAAAAAAAGTGACCTAATAAAAACGTGTTAAAAAAAAAGTTACCAGAATTTCCCGTACGGTTAAGCCAAAACTGGAACAAGCCTTAATTTCCACTTGAGCCAGTCCAGAGTTGACTTAATCGACAATCTTAAAACTTCTGAAGCAAGACAGGTGTTGGAAGTCTTTTCAAAAAATGAATTCATAGTATCTTGCGGACTTATGCAGTTGATAAAATCTGAATTATCCATTACTTGTTCAACTTTTTTTTCTTCTTTTTGTTTAAAATTTTGTATTCCACAGCATCTGGATTAAAAGTTACTAACCCAGCAGGAGCAAAACCATTAACTATAGCATCCTTGCTTCCTACAAAAATCTTTATAGCTAGTTCCAAAGCACAAGCAAAATCTTTCTTCTTCAATCTTTTGTTATTTTCAGCTTTCCATAATTCGACAGCTTTTTTTCAAGCTACTTTTAAAGGATGGAAGAAAACGATGTCAAGAGGCTGAATAATATGCGTTGCATTTGGAAATAAGGCAATGATCTCTATTTGATGCTCGATACAGAAGCTTACAAAAGGAAGACTTACGCGGGATGCATGCCCATCCATATAAATAACTACTGGCAACTCAATGTTTTCTTTTTCGAGTCAAGGATAAAAAACATTTGAGATGTACTCAAAAAACGTAGCAGTGGTCATCCATCCTGAATAAGATTTCCCTTTAGCCCACCCATTTGGACACTTCTTTATTATATCATCTGGTAGATCTCCTTTGTACTTGTGCAAAATCATGGGTGGTGCCAATGTGTCATAAGCACTACACATAAATAAAGTAGTAAGGCTCTTTTTTTTTTGACGCATGAGTAACTTTACATACATTGGCTGCTCCTTTTGTAGCAAGCACTTGACTGTCACTAGTACACAGCTGTATGTTGGTTTCATCACAGTTAAAAACCCTAGAGGCCTCTTAGTTGAGCATTTTTTTCTGCAGGAATTCCTGAACCTTACAAAACCATGATTTCAAATCTTATTTTTGAACAGCGGCTCCGCATAAAGTCAAATTCTATGCTGACCTGATGCTCAGATTCGGATGTCTTGATTTAAAATTTTTCAGCCAGTGTTTCCTGGTCTATTATCATTTTTCTTGAATACACTTTCCAGACTTTTATCAGTTTCATACTTGTGAATTGAATCAAGCGGCTCTGTTTGCGTTATTGGAGATCCAGTCTCAGCTCTATGTATTATCCAAGAAACAATAGAACTTTCCTCTTCAGCTGATAAAACTGTAGGAGGTCCACTTTTTTTAGTGATGGACTCTGGATTCTTTAGTTTTCTCCACAGTGTTGTGGATGGTATACCATGAGTACTAGTTGATTTAACAAAAGTCTGTCCTTCATTCACTGCTTTTATAGCTTGCTCCAGGGAATTCATAGAATAACTTTTCCTTCGTAGCTTTATTTTATTCACAACTTTCTTCACTTTTTTTGTATTTCTATCAGCTTTACCAACGACAGTTCCTTTGATTCTGCTTGTCGCCTTTTTTAATCCTTTCACTTGTTTCTATTTTACCAGTCCTTTTTTTGTCTTTTTCTGTACTCTTGGTTTTCATATTTACTTTTAATGAACTATTGTTATACTAAAATAAAGCACAGTGCTGATAAAATTCAGAAGTATCCTATACGTTAACAATGAGTTCAGAAATTCTTAGGTTAGAAATGTATGAAGGTGCGATAAACGCTAATTTTTTTTATACCTATGAGGTTTTGCGTCAAAAATATGCGTGTGATGACTTGAGTAATACCAACTATCAACTATATTTGACTTTTTCTAAAATTTATTACATTCAATCTTTATTTTGACACAAACTCTCTTTTTCTGAAAATAGATTCACGTCGATATACAGGGGCCTCTTAATTATGAAATGCTTGTTAACGATTTTTTATAAATGTGATCCTCTTGGTACAACAGTAAACTATTATGAAATACTTTTTTTTTATGTAAAAAAAAAAGTATTTAATAAAACTGTGTATAAATATTAAATTATCTTTGTATTAACGTTCACTGAAAAAATTTTAATATTAGGCAACCTTTTTTACAGTTTTAATTCAACTTTTACAAGATTGA